TTTTTGTATGCTTTCCTTTCCTATAAATAGGAGAAGTTACTAGTGTCTTAGTAACGAAGTCTTTACAGAATTTTCATTGTACTCTGTAAACTTTGAAAAAGCGTAATAGAGTCAAACAAATAATATTTACATCGGTGTTCAAATCTTGCATACTTACTTTAAATTAACTCTATAATTCATTCAATACTTGATTCTTTGATTCATCATGTAAAATCCCAGAAATAGCTACCCCAAGCGAAACTAACAAAACAAAAAAAATTAGTTATAATATAGATTAACATAAATAATTTAAAACTTTCAACGTAAACAAAAAATACATGTTCTAGACATCCAAATTCTCAGCAAAAAAAACCAATCTTGTGGCACCCCGATCATATATTTCTTTTCCCAAAAAACCTTCACACAAAATGTATGTCAAACGTACTCTAACTGCATCGGTGTCGTCAACTTCTACGAATGGTTGGTTTAAAATAAAACTTTTCAGGTCGTCAATTTTCACCGAACTATTTGTATAGTTCGGAAATAGCCGCTCACGCAATAAACATCTTTTTTTACTAGTAACTATTTTTTCTGACACTTTTTCCCGATGTTTTTCGGATACTCCCCAAAATTGAAGCCGGTTATCAAACAAAACTCTTCCGACCCATATATCATTTTCGTATCTCCTACTCTAAAATATAACCGTTTTATTCCATCTTTAAATAAAACAACGGCCGACCGTATCTGATGAAGGAACATTTTGTGGAATAACAATATATCCCCTTATAAACGAGGGACGTCCAACAAGTAACCAAATACGGTATCTCTAAATATATCACGTCTGACACCATCTAACACTTCAAATACTTCCCATAGATTACACCCAAATCCTTTTAAGTTTACAATTCCTTTCATATTGAAATTATTATAATAATGTTGCACAAAACACAATAACATATTAGATAAGTAAACAAATATTTCATTTTAAAATATATGATTATTAAGTGCAATAATAACATAAACAATAATAACAATGCAAATACAAATATTTAATAAATAATTTATATAAATTTTTAACTTTCAAATTATATAAAATAACATATAAAATATTTTCTACTAAAACAACAAATATATACAAATTTTCAAGCTATACGACAAATATACAAACGACTATTGTACACATATTATAAAATTTGCTAACCATACTATACAATTTTTTATACTTCACCAACAAATATATATAAATTTTCAACTTATACAACAAATATATATATACAAAAGACTATTTTATACATACTGTAAACATTATTTTAAGCATTTTTCAATTTATAAAGCAATTACACGATAAGAATATACAATTTTTCAAGTTATACAACAACTATACAAACGACAAATAACATATTCTAACCATGCTATATCAATTTATCATCTTAAACCACTAACCAAAACATATTGTAAACATTATTCTAACAATTTATTTAACTAACAAATTAAAAAAAAAATAGAATATTCTAACCATTTTACTAAATGCACAACCACCCGATGCACACTCTACACAGTCTCTACTTGTACATTAATACAACCACTAACAAAATAACATTTAAACTTCAAGTTTACTAATAACAAATATTAAAACTATCAAATACAACAAAATTACCCTATCATAAATAATATAATTTCATTTTATTTTACACTAACTAATACAATAAATAATAAAATAATAAAGACATATTCTAAATAAATATTAATTAAAACATAAAAAGAGTTAAAATCTAATCATATTTGCGGGATTGTTGAAATAATCCTCCATTTTCTTTAAAATATCGTCAAAGGAATCCCAGAGAGAGAGAGAGAGAGAGAGAGAGAGAGAGAGAGAGAGTTTCTGTACTGAAGAGTGAAAAATAAAGAAAAAAAACATTTTATAAAGTTTTCACCGGAAAATCGTAGATGCATAGTGCAAATCGCAGATGGAAAGCCAAAATCGCAGATGGGGCTTTTCAATCTGCGAATTTAAAGATTATTTTTGTAATTTTTATTTTTTTTAGGCTAAATTTGTAAATTAATTAATAAATTTGGCTAATTTTGTCATTTTCTCTAAAAACTATCCTTAAAGATGCTCATAGAAAATATATAACAATAACATGTCGTGCACCGTGTCATATCAAGTACGTTAAGTTCGCCGAATAGATGGTCACATAGTAGGCATTGAATGTGGCATGTTTCCAAACTTAATAGAGTGTTTGGGTGTTCATCTAAAAATGATTTTTTAACTTATTGACTTCTTGAAAAGTCAATAAGTTAAAAAAAATTGTTTGTATATCTGATAAAGATTTTTAAAACATTTTTTTGTTTACCCTTTGAAAAAGAGTTTTTAAGAAGTAAAAATTTGTGACTTTTTGAAATTTGAAATGAATTATAACATATTATCATTAAAAACAAACAAAGGTCATTTTTAAACTAAATATTTTTTAATTTATTGGCTTTTTTCATTAAAAAGTTAATACAAATATTTTTTAAAAACTCATATTCCCATCTTGATGTCAATAAATCTTTTTGAATAAAAACTATTTTTAACTTCAAAATAAAATATCAAACACTTTCTAACGCTAAAGTAGTTTTTTAGGGTGCAAATTTTCTATACATGTTATAAGACAAGTTGGTTATTATCATGGTTAAAATTTTAAGTATGTTCCCTTATCCGATAGAAAGACAATTATGTTGCCATTTTACATACTTTGTCCAATTTTATAATTGTTTTATTGTTTATATTACACAACACACATCACACGCGTTGGTGTTAAGGTTATTTTCATCGGTGATAATGAAAGGGCATTTATGTCTTTTTTTCATAGACGAAAGATCAAGAGTGAATCTTTTCCATTTGTTTGGATGTGAAAAAAAAATCACAATTTTTGTCCAATCGACATAATTGTATCTCTTTAACAGCGACATCATTCAAACTATAATCTTTCATGTAAGAATGTTATTTTATAATAATAAATTTAATCAAATACAAAATATGTAGTTAAATAAATTATACATAAATATATTTCATTCCATTTAAAATATTAAACATATATATTTTAAATGGTCAAAAGTTTATTTGTTATTAAAAAAAATAAAAACAAATTCCGTAAAATTTAAAATAGTCATGATAGAAACATCCACTAATTGAATCTTGAAAAATAACTTAATTGTAAAAATATTAGTGTTGACAATTATGTAAATAAAAATAGTTTATAATTTTAATATATCATTTTATTATTGAAAGAATAAAAAAAAACACCACCCCTAGGCATGCGCGGAGCTTTATAAGGGCGAGGGGTTTTGGCTCCTCGTGATTTTTTTTGTTACATATAGCCTATATATTTTCATTTTATTTATATTAGACCAAAAAAATATAAAATTTTGATGTTTTTGCTTACTGATTTTTATACATATTATATTTTCGGCCCTCAAATCATATGTTGAAGCTCGGTTCCTACCTTGAGAAAAAAAATTAGCAAAAAGATAAAGAATCATGTTTCAATCAATCCATTTCTTTATAGTAAACAAACAGAAAAGAATGATTCTGTTTCGTTCTTTCTTCTATCACGACCTACCATTACACCAACAACCACCTTACAGTTTGGATTTGCTTAAATTGGGTTCTCTTAGCTGGAAGTTAATGATGTGCTACCAAATGAAAATGATCTATCTACAATTCTACATACATTAATTAAAGACTGGTTTACAAAAAAACTAATTAAATAAATATATAACAATAACATGTCATATCCCTTGTCACATCAAGTTGACCAATACATGATCCACGTAGTAGGCATTCAACTAACCAGTTTTTTTAGGTTGCAAATTTTCTATATTTTATAAAAGACAAGTTGGTTGCTATTATGGTTTAAAAAAAATGGACTATATTGGCTTATCTTATTTAACAGAAAAATAAGTATGTTACTATTTACTTTATATAATAAAAAGTGAAGATTCAACAAACGGTAATGTCCTTCATTATAGGATATTTACCATAACAATTTTAGATTTTAGCACATTCAGTCCCTACAGTTTTTTCATTTACATAAAAGGTCCTTATAAAGTTTCTTTTTTTTTTTTTACGAAAAAACAATCTATATGGTTAAAATTTTGTTCTGTTAGCAGGTTTCATCCATGTATAAAAAATAAATTACAAAAATTATCCACGTAATTTACGTAAAATATCTTTGTGTATTTTTTTTATAGAAACAATCTATGTTTAAAATATTTACAAAAATATTCCTTTTAATTTACAGAAAATATGTAATTTTGTTTACAGAAATGGTCCTATGTTAGTAAATTACAAAAATAGTTTCTACGTAAAAGAAAATTTTCAGGTTTAGTCCCTACACTTTCCTACATGGGCATATTTGATCCCCCAAACATTGCATACAAAACCATAAAACGATTAATAGTGGTATTTTCTTTTTGTGTAACTAGATTATAGATTATAGTAAGCAAAAGATTATAGATTATAGTAAGCAAAACCTCGTATGCGTCCCCGCAAAGCGGGGAGAGCAATTTCTAGTTTGACATAAGTTGTTTTTTTTTTTTTTTTTTTTTTTTTTTTTTAATCTATTATTGTTTATATTTGACAAGTTGGTGTTAAACACCTTTTGTATACACAAGAAATCAAGTGAGAGACTTTTCCCAACTTTTTAGGCGTGACAAATTTTTTTTTTTTTTTTTTCTAATGACATATGTCCCAATCTAATGAACGTCAAACACAATATAACATGTATTATTTTTTTTTTTCTAATGACATATATCCCAGTCTAATGAACGTCAAACACAATATAACATGTAATGTTGTGACCATGATTATGTAATGTTGTGACCATGATTACAAAAGCTACATTATAATTGTAAGAAATGGAAAGGCAAAAATGCAACCAACTTCATTTCACAATCGATTTTCATCCAAAATGATTGTACAAATGCTACAAAAAAAAAACCTATACAACATTAAAAAAAATATATATATAGTAAATAACTTACTTGAAGAACAAACCCCTCCTCTTTTTCTTCCCTAGCTTCCTATCAACAGCCCGTTTTATAAACAACCTCATCGTTAACACAATCGTATCTCTTGAACAACTCACATCATTCAAATTATCATCCACACGTAAATAATGCTCAACATCACTACTACTAAGTATCGAAAACTCCAATGGCATTTCCCCTGGTAAACTAACAACCATATTTGCTGCATACTTTTCATCCACCACAACACTTCCATTATTAATCTTTATCACATACCCACTTTTCTTAATTTCCATCATCCCATTTTCCCACGTGTCACTAGACTCTTTCCAAATCAACAACTTAAAATTCGCATGACCTAAATTGAATATTTTCTCAATCTCACGAAGCATATCCGGGTGACACGTGATTTTTTTATTGTCATTTGCAAAACATTTTACAAGTTCACCCTTTCGTTGTTTGTTATCGAGTGGTTGAACTTCTACAGCAAGATATGTGTCCACGTCATCAGCTGTTACTGTATATGTCGGTTGTTTTGCTCCTTCTATGTAGTTTACAGATCCATCTTGTAAATGGCGAACCCATTCGAATCCGCAATGAGTAGTCCCGTTTCTTGAGTAACCACTTGCTTGGATTTCGTTTCCGGGAAACGATTCGCCTAATATCTGTAGCCCTTCGATTGTTGGAAGTGGTTTGTTCGGGTCTTGTTCTTCGTTTTCGTCGCTGAAATTTTCGTCGTCTGAATCATCATCGGCTTCGAGTTGTGAGGAAGAAGAAGGTTCTTCGAGAATTGATGGGAGGTAATGCGAGTTCACTACTTCTTCTTCTTCCTCTTCTTCTTGTTGCTCGTTGGTTTGTCTCTCGATATGAACTGGTTCTTGTGATGGAGAAAAGTTTGAGTGTGAGTGTGTGTTTGTGTGTGTCCATGGTGAATGTGAAGAAGAATCGTCTCTTCTATGAGGATGTAACGTTAATGGCTGATATTGTGGATTTCTAAGCTTTTCGTCTGCTATGGCGAGGCGTTCTTTGTTATGTTTGAAGAGAATTCTTAGGTTGCTAATAATGGAGTATGCGTCAAGAGATGGGGGGTGAAGAGAAAGATCTGAAAGAAGAGGGGCTAAAGATGAAATAAATATTGACCTTTCTTCTTCAGCGATTCCCAGAGCATATCCCAGGCGTATGTTCTCTTCGGTTATTTCTTGTCTGTAAGATCTGGCATTTGAGGTGGATTCAAAAAGGTCTTGTTGTTGCTGATCGAAGGCTTTGTGCATTGAAGCAATTCGTTTTTCGAGAACATGTTTCTCGTTTTGAATTTGAGCTTCTTTGACTGTGTATTCCGCTAGGTGTTTCCTCAACTGTAAGATTTCTGTTTCTTGTTCTTCGATTTGTTGAAGAATGTCGTCTTCTTTGATTGGTTTTCTGTTGGGTTGATTGTTGGAGGCATTGTAGTGATTGAATCTCCCACTTACAGTTAACGCAGAGAAGCTGTTTGATAAATTGCTTCTGAGAAAGTAGTCATCTTCTCCCATAACTCTCTTGATCAGCCCCAATTCCTTCGATTTTGTAACGATTTCATGAAATCAATTGAAGAATTTTACTCATAAACCCTGATGTCGTCGTTGATAAACCCTAGATTCAGAGAGATCGGCGAAGAGAAACTCGCCCCCTCTTCTCTACCACTCTCTGTTCAATCAAATTCAATTCGAACTAATTAACAAACCATGAATCGACATATACGAATATACACATTCCCTTCAATTAATCAGAAATTTTCGTGGTTGACTGAATTTTATTAAGAAATAAGAACACACTAACTGAATCAACGATCAATCACTTCAAGACTAATCTGAATTATCATTTCCTTACACAAACATATACATGTGGTCATCAATTTATCTCTCTTGCAAAACACAGAAGAAAACAGGAGCAGAATTAGCAGGATAGATAGATACCTTGTACTTTCGATTAATTTACGAGGTAAAAACCATTGATGGAATTCTTGTTTGTCATCAAGAAAAGTCTACGCCACAGAATTATGCAGAGAAGAGAGAGATTGATTGAGAGAGAGTTTGTTGCAGGACTTTAAGCCGGTCATGCATTAATGAGAAGATGTGCTGTTCGAAGTGTTTATATAGCGAGTTTAAAATATGGCGGGTCGGGTCGGGGATGGTCTTCGGTTACGCGGTCATGTTGAATAATTAATAATATACGCCAAAAAAACAAGCCGCCGGGATATTATATTTTATTTAGTTTTAGGTTTCTATGTGATTACAATTATTATAAATATTAAATTTACATAATATTTAGATATTGACAATTTCACATTGTGTTTTTTTAAACGAACTTATTAAATTTATAATTTTTTTTTTACAAATTTAATTAATCGATTGTTTTGCTTTAATTGTTTTATGTTTATTATTTGTTGTTTAGCAAAAAGTTGATAAAAGCTTTTATGTATGATTATAATTGGTAACTATTTGAGTTAAATTGAATTTTTATGTAGATCTGTACTTTTTTTTTTTTTTTTTTAATTTTTAATTTTTTTTCTTCTATAGAAGAATTATGATTTTGTGAAATGGGTTTTCAAAGTTGTTCAAGTGGTTTATCATTCTAGAATGATGTAAGCAAGACAAGGTTGTTCATGGTAACATTTCTTAAAGGATATTACTGGTATTGCTTACTCCACGTTGTGAACTACTTGAGCGATCTTGGAAAACCATTGGAGAAAATCGTGATGTTTTGAAAGAATAAAATAAAAATAAATAAGAGGAAATGGGTATAGATCTATGTAAGGGTTCATTTTAATCCAAATGTTTGTCGATTATTATCATATAAAAAAGACAACTTTTTGCCTAGTTAGTAAATGGGAAATCTCCGAAAAAGTTCAAATATTTTACTCTAATTTACGAAAAAGTTTCAAACTAAAATTTGTTTTTGAAAAAATCCTAATTACCGGTAAAAATGAAGATTTGACCCTATTTCCCCGGTTTACCGGTTTCATTACTTAACAGGTTTTAAAAAAGTCCCATTATTTTACCATAATTTATGAATAAGTCCTAAATTTTTGTAAAATAATAGGACTTTAATGAAAATAATGGTAAAATAATGGGACTTTAATATTTTCGAGTAAGTAATGAAACCGGTAAACTAAGAAAATAGGGTCAACTTGTCATTTTTACCGGTTTTGGGACTTTTTCATAAACGAATTTTAGTTTGAGATTTTTTTGTAAATTAAGGTAAAATATTAGGATTTTTCCGGAGATTTCCCTTAGTAAATTGAGAAACATGAAGAACCTCAAGCAAATTGCTTGATTGATTAAATTTACAACAAAATTGTAAACTTAATAACTTGAAAAAAATAGTATCAGAATCAAAATTTTATTTAAACTTAATTACATTTATACAATTTATCTTTACAATTATTACAAAACATCATTGCTCTTAAGTTTCATTTAAGGATCGAAAAAAAAAGCAGGAACATTTGGAAAGGTCATTGCTCCCTAGTTTCATTTAAGGAAAGAAAGTAAGAGAAAGGAAAATAAGATTCAAGTTAATTTTCCCTATAAACTATCCTTCCAAATCGAAAGGAACCATAGAGAAAGAAAAAGAAGATCAATTCCTTTTTTTTTTCTCTTGTTTTTTTTCTACAGTGAACTCGAGAGCGGAGACATCAGTCAACAATCACGTTTTTTCTTAATTTTCTTATATTATATACTAGTAATGCAGATTCTACAACTCATGAAATATGTAAAAGTTGTGGCAATAAATGGATCGTCAATTGGGCGATTTTTATTTAAGGAGTACATCCAAATTTATTTAGCAATTGGGAAGAACCAGGTTCATACAACTTACTTATACATGGTGTGAAGTTATAAGGCATCTTTCCTTTTCTTTATAGGCAAAAAAAATATGTGATATACATAATTATGTTGTGCTTCAAAGATGGAGGTTTTTTAAATGGAAGTTGATTTGTATAAAATAGTATTTTTACTATATACAACAATTTATATTTTAGAAAATTGTTAACATGCAAAAAAAACATGAAAATAAGTGATACTGGGGAATGATTTATTGGGTTACTTTTTTTTTGAACAAGAAACTAATCTATTGGGTTACATCTTTTATAAAAAGAAAACTGATTGGTTCATAATAATTTTTCTTCGTCCAAAACAATTTATGTTCTACAAAGTTGTAAAATACAACATTCTAAAGCACAAATTGTTATTTATAGATTAAAACTCTTTGTACAAATCAACTTCATTTACAAAATCTTACCTAGTAAAACTATGTAATAATTGGTGTTTATTCATGATTCAATTAATGTAAAAGGAAGTACAATTTCTTATGATGGTGGTAGATGGATTTTTCAGTACATAGTACGAATTCAATGCTTGTATGTTAAAAGTAAAATGTAGGTATTGTGTTAAGCAAAATGACTTAAAATGGTAACGAAGTTTCCAAAATGTTCAAAAAATACTATTGTTGTTTTTTTAGTATAAAAATGTCATTAAAATATACTTTTTGTACATAGAATACCAACAAAATACACATGTGTTCAAATAAAACTTTATGGTAGCCGGTTATCTCGGGTAAATTGAAAATGACTTAAAAGGGTAACGAAATTTCCAAAATGTTCAAAAAATTATTATTGTTATTTTTAGTACAAATATCATTGAAGTATACCATTTGTATATAAAATACCAACGAAAATACATATTTAGTATAAAAAATACCATTAAAGTTTCTAAAACATTCAAAAAATGCATTGTTATTTTTTCAGAGCACTTTTTGTTAACGTCGTTGTCTTCGGATTATTTAGAACATCGTCACCGAAGATCATGCACTGTCATATCAGTTCACACATTTGCGCACTCTCTACTTTGGCTCCAAATAGGCATCAACTCAGCCACATGACGCTGAGAGTTCCCAACTATTCATCAGTTACTGGTCCCGATAAATTAAAAGCAACACATACTTTTTGTAGCCATATTTCGGAATTCTCATGACATAAGGTCACAATCGCTTCTCTCTTTAGCCAATTTTCATGTCGGAGAAGCATGGACATATAGAAATCATACATACATGCACAATACTGATCATGTTAAGCATCATCCTTCAGCAACCTTTTGTAGTGCCGAAAAATCTACAACTATTCCTTTGTCGATTTTTTTTGTGTCTCTTGTGTGTCGCAACAATAAGGAACGGCTGACCCTGATGTATAATATGTATGTGTGTGTGTATACACACACACGTTTAAAGTTTGAGGCACATAATGTGATCAGGAAGTACTACAAAAAAAAGCCAAAATAACTACGGAAAGTTACCATGGAACGTCTTTTCGTTGTCATTCTGCAACGGATCATACTATAGAATGTCATTCCATAGCTAATTTGCAACCACATTTTCTACGAAATTAATTTTATGTAGCAAACATGAGAATTGCTATGGAAACTGTTACCGACTTGAAACCGGTTGGTATATTGCTACCGATATTTCTATGGAAAAACCATTCGTAGTAAATTTGCAATGAAATTTTTTACAAAAATACTTCAATTGTAATTCTTCAATGGAATTAAATATTGTGGTTAATCTGCAATGGAATAAAATTTCATAGTTGTTTTGCTATGGAAGTAGCATTCATAGCTATTTACCTACGAAATTGTGCTACAAAATTTTATTTTCATTGCTTGTTTTTCTATGGAAAAAAAGTCTAGCTTAGTTGTTAGGAATTTTGTTACGAAATTAAATTTCATAGAAAATTTGCTAAGGAATTCAAATTCATAGCCATTTAGCTATGGAAATTTGCAACGTGAATAAAAATTGTGGAAGTTTGCCTATGGAGCTAATATCTGTTGCAACTTTTGTTATGAATTTTGTTAGGAATTGATTTTTAGTAAAGTATTTTACATTATAATATCATATTATGGAATTTGTTTGTATAAAGCAGGCCTTCCAACTCCCATATTCGCAAACCCACAAGACAAAGAAGAGAAATTAAGGCAAATCGATGTTGTCGTCTTCAAGCAGTAATGTGAGACTGTGTGGATGTGGAGATCCAGTTGGAATATGGACGACATGAACGCTAAAGAATCCTGTTCAGAGGTTCCTTGGCTGCACAAACTACAATGATGAAGACAAAAATGGTGGGTTTTTGCGTTGGATTGACCCATAACTCTCGAACAAGTGGTATAGAGAGAAGATGTACAAATTGAGAGATCAAGTCAATGGTGAACATTTAGGATGCCCCTGAAACTCTTGGTCAATTTTCATGTCAATGTAGTCCTGCCTCAAGTTGTAATTCAAGATACTGAAGAACATGGTAATGGCCCGCGAGTTGAAGGTGTTCAAGTTGGAATTATCAAGTTGATGATGGTATGTTTGGTTTGTTTCTTTTTCGGGATGTTGTATGCTTAATTTTCCTATATATGTAATTAAAATAGTAGATACTGGAATGAAAATGGAGGATTTGTTATTATGATCAATGGAATTGGTAAGTTATGGATTGTGTTACGGAAACGTGGCAACGAAC